CCCTCCTTCCCTCCCTCCATCCCTCCCTCCCTCCCTCCATCCCTCCCCTTCTTTGTGCACATTTATGAGTAAGAACATGCAGTATTTCTCCTTCTGTGCCTGGCTTATTACACTTAACCTAATGTTCTCCAAGCTCACCTATGTTGCTGCAAATGGCAGAATTTCATTCTTCTTTAAGGCTAAGTAGTATTTCATTGCATGCCTCATTTTCCTTATCCAGTGGTCTGTTGATGGACATGAGGTTGGGTCCATATCTTGCTATTGTAAATAGAGCTGTGATGAACACAAGAGTTCAGATATCCCTTCGACATGATGATTTCCATTCCTTTGGTATATACCCAGCAGTGGGATTGCTGGATTGTATGGTAGTTCTATCTGTACTTGTTTGAGACACTCCACACTGTTTTCCATAATAGCTTTGCTATTTTACAGTCCCACCAATAGTGTAGAAGGGTTCCCCCTTCTCCACATTCTCACCAGCATTTATTCTCAGTCTTTTTGATAATAGCCAGTCTAATTGGAATGAGATGATATCTCAATATGGTTTTGATTTGCATTTCCCTGTGATGATTAGTGATATTAAGCATTTTTCATGTACCTGTTGGCCATTTGTATGTCTTCCTTTGAAAAATGTCTATTCATCTCCTTTGCCCAGTTTTTAATTGGATTATTTTATTTTTTACTGTGAAGTTGTTTGAATTCCTTGTATATTCTGGATATAAATCCCTTGTCAGATGTACAGTTTGCAAATTTTTTCTCCCATTCTGTAGGTTGTCTTTTCACTCTGTTGATTATCTCCTTTGCTGTGCAGAAGTTTTTTAGTTTGATATAATCCCATTTATTTATTTTTTCTTTTGTTGCTCATGCTTTTGGGGTCTTATTAATAAAGTCTTTGCCCAGTCCTACTTCCTGAAGTGTTTCCTCTACGTTTTCCTTTAGTAGTTTTACGGTTTCAGGGCTTATACTTAAGCCTTTAATCCATTTTGAGTTGATTTTGGTGTATGGCGAGTACAGGTCTAGTTTCCTTCTGCATATGGATGTCCTATTTTCCCAGCACCATTTATTGAAGAGGCAGTCTTTTCCCCAATGTATGTTCTTGGTGCCTTTGTCAAAGATCAGTTGGCTGTAGTAAGTATATGGGTTGATTTCTGGGTTCTTTTTTTTTTTTTTTTTTTTCCTTTTTGTC